AAATGATGACAGAGGTCAGTAATTTGCACCAGAGGTACACTTCAACTGTGAGAGACAGAATGTGAAAGAAAAATCGATGAATCCACATGGTAGGATTTGTAAAGAATTTATTCGTAAATCAGGGTGGAAAATGACGAACTGATGGCGAAAAATATCCTGTAAAACATCTGTCAGTGTTGTGGCATGTGCATGTGTGGATGCCAGTAGTATTCGTTTAGTGGCAGTGTTTATGGATGATGTGACTGAGGACAGAAGTCACAGGATGAACTCTGAAGTGTTCAGAGCTGTACGCTCTCCTCAGATTCAGCCAAATGCTGCAAAAGTGATCCCACAGCACTTCACAGTGCAGATGGATAATGGCCGAAAGCAAAATGTGAAAGCAACACAGGAGTTTAAAAGAACACAGAAATTGGATATTCTTCAATGCCCAAGTCAGTCACCTCATTTCAACTCAACAAAGCATGCTTTGCAGCTCCTGAAAACAAACCTGAAGGCAGAGAGGTCCACAATCAAGAAGCACTTGAAGGCAGTGAAAAATATACTAATGGTCCAATTAACTGAGCTCCTGAAAATGGAACCGTTCATTGAAGAAGAAAAAAAAGGCCAGTCCAAAACTTTTTTAAAACCCCTCAAAATAAAGCCTCAAATTAAGTCTGCGCCTCACAAATGGTTTGATTTCTTTACTTCCATAAGTACAGTACAGAAGAAAAAAAAGAATTAAAGTTCTCTCTGTGTGGATAAGAGAGTGTGTATGCATATGAACCTTTGTTTCTTCATTAGTTGAATTATGTAAATGCATTTTATATAAGAGCATTATAGTTTTGTAGATTCTCAACCATTTCAACAGAAACCCTAAGGAAGGAGCCCATTTTTTACCAGGTCAGCAGTCAAATGATTTTACAGTTTTTCTCGATTGGTTTGGCTCATTTCTTGAAACCGAGATGACAATCTCAAAACCATAAGGTCATTTGGCCAAACAGTCTTACAGTTCTGCCCAACAGTATAGCTCACTAGCAAAATCAAATATCCTTCCCCAAACTCTTCGTCCATGCTTCAAAAGCAGATTCCTTTCCCATATAAAAGGTCAGTGCAGTCAAAATAGCACAGATCCTTCTCAATTGCCTTGGCACATGTGCATTCATTTAGTGCTTTTGTCAAAATAACCTGGATGGTTTAGCACAACACCATGGATCCCCTGCAAAAGCTCACACCTCTCCCAAAAGAGTTCATCCATGTGTCAAAACTAAAAATCCTTCTCATATAAATAGTCAATGCCCCCAAAATGCATTATACCTTTGGCATTGTTTAAGCACTGCAAGTCAAAATGCTTAGATGTTCTGTCACTGAGGCACAGGTCTAGCAACAGAATACCACTATGAATAAAACTAAAAGATGTTACAGTAAAATCAGCCTCCAATAAACCACTCATACTCAAGGAAACTGTAAACATACTTATCCGTACAAAGAAATGTTAACATTAGAGAACATACTGTGAAAAGAAAACATATACAGGATTCTGTAAATGTGAACAGTTATAAACACAAACAAAAAACAAAAAAAACTCTAGCCTACCATACTGTAAATAAAGTTTCAGAACTATAGTACAGTTATATTTTCAGTGGTCACCATTGTCACCCTCTCCTTCCTGGCCACCATCCTCATCCCCCCGGCCATCGACGCACTGCTCGCTGTCAGGCCATAAATTCTCATCCACATCGCAACGGATATTTTCCCTTGCGATGCAGCGAGGGAAGAAACGGTGTGAATGTCTCAACCATCCCCTACATTGATCCCCTGTGATGTCCTCACATGCAGCATCCATTGCATGCATCAGGGCCCTCTGGTCTTGAGTCTGATGCTCATACACCCTCCACCTCCAAGCTGAAAAAAACCCCTCAATTGGATTTAGGAAAGGAGAGTAAGGTGGAAGAAACTCCATCAGCATCCGGGGATGGGTGGTGAACCAGGTTCTGATGCGTGGGCCGTGGTGGAAGTTCACATTATCCCACACAATGACATAATGTGGTAGCTGAGGTCCTTCTTCACCTCTCTCATTTTCTGGGATCAGATCAGTATAAAGGTGGTCCAAAAAATTGAGGAGCTTTTGCGTATTGTAGGGCCCTAAACTGGGAATGTGTGTGGCCACACCTCTTTCTGATATGGCGGCACACATTGTTATATTTGCTCCTCGCTGGCCTGGGACATCCACAGTGGCTCGGTGGCCAATGATGTTACGGCCACACCTTCGACCTTTGGCCAGGTTGAAGCCAGCTTCATCAACGAACACTAGGATGTGAGGGGTTTCGTTGCCTTCTAATGGCATTATTCTCTACAATAGAATAGAAATAAATCTAATCAGTCAAGTAGAGACAGATACTGCACAGTGCATCTAAAGTACTGTAAAAACAGGGAGTGGACAACTGAAGACAATTTCTAGGCAAAATGCTCTAGTCACACAAAGCCGGATTCTGAAGGTAAAAAGGATAACGCAAAACAAAAAAACAGTGGTAACCATGTCTTACTGTAATAGTGTTACAATGATAGACAACCAGTAGTTGACTTACATGCACATACTGGTACCGCAGCCCTTTCACTCCGTCAGAGTTTCTCTCAAATGGTACCCCGTAAATCTGTTTCATGGTCATCTGAGATGTGGGAAACTGCTCCTTCGTTAGTTCTACTTTCACCTGATTGATTGTCAAGTACTGTCATAACTTTATCAAATGTTCCAAGACATACTTTCATGGTATTATATCTTTGACTAATTTTGACAGTTGAACAGACAATTGTGCATATGATGACTTATACACTGAAACCATGCTGATATGTTTTGGAGTGAGTGACCATTTCACTGAAAAATCAACTAATCAGTTTAGATCGCCAAGATCTATTTATTTGTAAAATGTGCTAAATGTGGGCTCATTGTGCTAACTGTAGCTACTTGTACATAATCATTTGAAAAGAAGCACAGAGTCACTTGAGACATGTACTAAAGCATTTGCAATTTGATAAAAACCAATGAGAAATGACATTCTGTTGTGAACAATTGCAAGGTGGTTTGGAGATTTGTCCATGTTATTTTGAGAATGTCATCTCGGTTTCAAGAAATGAGCCAAACCAATCGAGAAAAAATGTAATACTGAAGGTGGGGCTATTGGCCCTGTGGCATGAAACCCTGTCCCCATCTAATGGTCAAGAGAGGCGTTACATGAACATAGAGAGTCCCTGCTGAGTCAGCTCAGTGATATTAGAAGCTTTGGCACAAAAGAACAAAGTTGTTTGCCCTCTGCGATGTCTGTAAAATATATTCTGATAAAAGCGGTAACTTCATGATAGCTTTTTTTTCCACTTTTTGTTTTAAGCTACTGAAACCTCCAACAACGGAAAACATCTGGCTGCTAATACTTGAATGTTCTGTAAAAGCTACAGTTGACCAACAGGAGTAAGGTGGTCATGTATATTGTGCTGGCACTTATTTATCAAAAGTTCAGAGTTGTTTTTACAATCTGTTTTAGAATAACTGATTAATAGACTGCACTGCTTGGTGCAAACAGTCAACCGGACTCCAGTTTCTGACAGATTACATCAGCTATAAAACCTAATCTGACGTTTCTGGTTCTTTCCAATAAATAGTCGGGTATGTTTTTGCTTATTTACAAGTGGGCACTTTTTGCGTCGCGTCATCTGACAGGTTACTGTTCTTATATTTGTAACATTGTATTGGATTAAGCTTTTCCAAGTGCCCTGCGTTAATTAAACTAGATTTCTCCCTGTGGTGTATTTGCTGTGGTTCAACTTCCTCCAGTAACTGTTAACAAGTTCAGTTCACTACAAGTCAGTCCAGACACAAGCACAGGAATTACTGTCATACATACATTTATTTTATATAAAAGAAAACAAGGGTTGTAATATTAACAGTTATACACACACAGCCCAATCACTGGAAAACTACTGTATCCAACATGGCAGCTAGGCACTGAACAATGTTGGATGTCATTAAAACATCTACGTGCTCCTCCAAGTGCCTCTTGGGATCCTGTAGATTAAATAACAAAAAAGTTTTAAAAAGATGAAAAATGTAAACCACAGGGTCAAGATTTTCAGATCCTTTTTGAGAATCCCCTGGTTTCAAAAAAGTTTATAATAAATACAAACAAAAATCTACCTGTTTTCCAACATTCTTGATTGCCAGCTGCTCAGGGGTCATTTTGTCCTCTTCTTCAACGGCCTGAGGTGGAAATATGACAGTATGTCAGTATTGTGGAACAGTATGGTAAAAAAAAAAAATTTAAAAATTAAAAAAAATTATCTGCTGCTGAATTATTTCAAGTCGCACCTTATTGTAGTTCTTAGCCAGCTCCAACATTTCTTTGACGATGGTCTCATTGTGCTTGCAGTGCTCGCTGTAGTCCTGCAGGGTCAGACCCTCCATCCAGCTCTTCTTATGCAAGTTCAACAGCATCTGAATAAGAAAAGTCATGTGTCATATGTTCTACCACAAATTAACAAAAGTATTAACTCTTTAATAGGTTGTGAGACTCAAACCTTCTGCTCCAGCTCATTTTTCCTGTAATTGATGGTGATGGAGTAGTAGTGTCTGTTGAGTCCGTGAATCAGGGCCTGAAAACACAAGAAACATCAAGTTTAGCATTTTTTTTTTCCTTTTTGGATAATGTCAACAAACATTGCACAAAAAAAATCCCTAACACTGGATTTGTTTTGAATTTTTACAAAAAAATCCTCTTTAGATCTTTTACACTGATTTAGTTTCAATACAATGGCTGGAAATGAAGTGTGATGAATGGCAGGGAACACAGCTGTTCCTGTTCTTCACGTCTCTCTGAATGCAACCTTACTAGTGCCAACTGCCTCAGGTATATGCTGTTATGCAACGATTTAACTGCATGTAAATAAAGTTAACTGAATTGTGTTTGTTCATGTTATAACAAGCTGATTGTTGAGGCTAACTGAACACTAACAACAAAACAAACAGCTGGTGTTGTCTGCAAATATTCAAAGAAAACGCTGAACATAATTTTATGGAGAAGCATGAGTGACTATTACTTTGCATATGATGTTCAGAAACTGGAGATAACAATACACGTTGCTACCATCTGTTAGGAGATTTTAAGAAAAAACCCATGTTCTAAGAACACAAACAGCAGGTCACCTGGATTGAAGGCTTGTTCAGATGACCCAGGTTGGATGTGGTTTGTCTTGGTTCATGACCCAACACCATCATGTTGGCATTGATCAATCTGAAGGCATCAATAACAACCTGAAGATGATAGTGGAGGAAAAACCGTTTCACAATTAAACGATCATCATCACTAATTCATTATGAATTCTCACTTAATAACTGATCTTGTGCGCTGCACTTGAAATAATAAGAGGCTGATTAGAGGGTTTCTTCTTGGTACCCACTCATCCCTACCTTCCCTTTGACGCTCTGAATTGGATCAACGACCACTGCGACAGCTCGCTCTGACAGAGCCTCAAAGCTCTGCTGTGTGTTGATATCCACACCAGATAACCAACAACCAAACCCAGGGTGACTGTGGTACCATCCCACCACCATCTCTGGTCTGTTAAACAGCACAGGAAGAGGACAGCAGACATATGTGAATATGATTTTAGAGACATTTAATGTAAATTTTTTCATAAAAACTTTTCATTTTCTCTTCTAAGCCTTCACTTTATGCATCAATTACTAGCTAAGCAGGTATTTGATCAAACGATCCTTTTGAAAATGAGTTTTTATTCATTTTATATAGTCTCAAGTGTTACCTGCCGGTCTGCTTTAGCATGTCCAACATCTTGGCCTGAAACACAGGATCCACTGCTTCGACACTCACACCCTGTGAGGCACAAAATTGTGATTTTGTGAAAAAGTATAAAGTCAACATTAATCATCACAAATTTATTTCAAAATTGGTCATATCATGATACAAACAAGGTGTTTATTATCCAACTGTGCACTCCTTGGTAATCTACAGGAGGAGATTGGGACAAATGAACTTACCGTTCCTGACTGCGGCATGGCAAACACATCAATCACTCGCACTGTGTAGTCATCAACAAATTCTCCCAGCATCAATCCCATGACCTCCATGGGTACACCAGCACGCCCGTGTTTCAACATCTGAGGAATAGCATGAAAAGTCATTGAGATGTTTTTGTTTTTTTTATGGACATCATATATTTACTGCTGATGATGTGGTGCAGAGGTGTTACCTTGAGCAGGGCAAGAGAGGAGATGTACACCTGCTCTGCTGTGTCCACAGCAGGTGCATCTGTTGGGGGGCCCTGAGGAGCAGTGTTTTTTTATTAGTTCAGGCTTTTGTAAGACAGCAGCAGCTTTTACTAATCACCACATTCCAGGTATCAGTTAGAATTTTAGAGCATACAATGTGCATATGCATTATATTTCTTTCTGTTAATATTTATTTAATGGCAGTAACCATCTGATAAAACCTGCAGCACACAAGCACTCCCCTTTAGCAGGTGTATTTTTTATGTAATGTAGTTATACTGTTGGTTATCTTTAGGTTACCTGGCCAAGACCTGGCATTCCACCTCCGAGCCTAAGCAGCCGGTCCATACTGAGATGTGTTAACTGAGAAACAGAAACAAACAAACAAAAAAAAAAGCTTTGTTAAACTCATGATCAGGACATGGTTTGTGAAGATACAGAGTTATATGTAATAGTTCCTTGAGTCCACATTTATTCAAAGAAAACTTATAGAGATCAGATTTTACTCTGTTTGGACAATCTCCAAATTAATAAGATCACCCTATACATTATTTAAAATTATATTTAACTGCTAACATTAAAATAAATGTACCTTATACATATTTTATTTTAATATTTTGGTTATATTTTGTTTTTATGAGATTAGACGTTATGTGTAGTCACAGTGTACGTAGACCTAACGAGTAAACTAGAGTAGAAAATTCGGACTATTTCTAAGCTCTGTGTGCAGAAAATGAGCTAAACTGCACTTCCAGTGACACAATAAATTACATTAATTAATCAAATATCCATATTCCACAGAAAGGCTAATGACAGTTAGCTTCAATGTGCTAATTCACCCATAATCGTCAAACGCAATACGGCAACATCATAAGCCTGATAAAACATTATCGGCTCGTATGTTTTAGTTAATGTATCATTACATGCCTGTGGCTGATGACTATAGTTTTAGCTTGTTTACTGTTTTAAGCTGCTTTTAGCTCAGTTCACGGACACAATTAGCGTGATGCTAGCGCTAGCCTGTTTGTGCTAACTTAGCCTGCACCGTTTAGTACAAGAAAATGATTAACAAATTGTTTACAGTAATCCCCTTTCATCAGATTTAATGACTTCTGTGAGCTGTGTTGAACGTCTGCCTCCACTTACCTGCTGTCAGACCTGTGTGGTATTCAGAAGAGTTTGTTTTTCTGGTCGTAGCCGAAACAAACCACCCGGCTACAATGAATCAGCCAGAATCGTCTTTTTTTTTCCACAGAGTAACTGTCGCACTAATGACGTATATTGGTGGAGCCCGACTGGCATTTGCAACATTGAGACACTAGAGGGAGCCACAGTTATGTATGTTAAGTCATTTAGGACAACAAATCGATTATGTAAAGAATTCGACAAGAAGGAGAAGAAGAAGAAGAAGAAGAAGAAGAAGAAGAAGAACCAGATTTATATCAAAAGTCTTTATAATTTATTATTTGTATTAACTTTTCTGTTAATCTAACCAGTTGAATTATGGCTACTTATATATCAGCTCTTTCTGTCAACATATACATATTTTGAAGTCATTTACATACCCTCATCATGAACATGACTGTCATGTTAATGTTGGACAACTCGGCCCTTGTGTATGCTGTATAGTTTTCCAAGGAGGAATGATTGTACAGGTTACACATTTAGTGACTCAAGAAACAATAATTGGGTGTACAGGCTTGAATTTATTTTGCATTTTCTCTAAGTCACACAGGGTCAGATATAAACATACACATCAACTTATATTAAAATGTCTATCAACAAGCAGCACCTTGACCAGATGCTTTTGCTAGCCATCAAGTCAACCCAAACTAACAGTAACCAAGTTTGAACTGTCTCACTGTTTTTGATGCGATTTGATTTGAGGTGAAGTGGAAGAATTTGGAGGTAGCCCTTCATTATTATTCTTCCATCCACTTTGTGCAATTTACCACTGACAGCAAAACAGCCCCAGAGTATGACGCTACAACCACTATGCTTGACAGTCAGTCCAATTTTTTTAGTTTGAAAGCCTCACCTTTACTCCTCAGTACCTACATACACATTGCCACTGTGACCAAATAGCTTAGTCTTTAGCTCATCTGACTAAAAGGCGTTTTGCTTGCTTTAGATTTTTTGGAGCAGGGGCTTCTCTCTCTCTCTCTCAGCCCATGGCCATGTAAAACTAGCTTCGCTGTGGACAGTGATGCTGGTTTTCCAGCAGTTTTCAGTTAATAGAAGGCGTGAGCCTTGGTTTCTGAACATCCTAACCTATTTACTCTCATCTGAGGGCGAAAGTTTCTTTTTCCAGAACTTGCCAAAGTGGCAACACATCCAAATTACTGATGATCCTGGAATCTGCAGCTGTTTACAAATGGCCCAAGAGACCTCCCCAACTTGTGTAACTCTAGAATTCTCTTTCTTAGATCTTCACTGAGATCCTTGGATGTTCCCATTGTTCTAAGTGTTGATCAATCCAGTGAGTGCTGTCAAACAAATCCTTTTTATGTATTTTCTAAATGTAATGAATCTAACCAGTTGCCACCTCTAGCCCTCACATCAGTATCATTTCTATGGAAAACAGTAGTGTATAAAGTAAATAGTATTTTTATATAAAGGCTGAAGACTGCTGTGATGTTTTCATGGTTTCTCCTTTTTCAGCAATCAAGCATTTCATTGCTCCCAAAGGAGCCGCAAACGCTGAGCCAAACCACACCATTACTGGAGTTGTGAAAAAGCTTTTCTGTTTGTTTCCTATATTCTAGCCAGACAGGAGCCAGTTCTACAGAACAACTCGTATGATCTCACCCAGCACCGTTACTAGATACACTGCGATGCTAGACGCGTCAGCTGCCACGCTGATGGCGCCAAGGGGGTATTTCAAATTCCCTTATTCTTTGGTGGATGTGGACAGAGTAGATAATCATCTACATTCCTCAGCCCCTCCCTCTTCAAACCCTCAGGACCCCCCGCTACATCAACACAGTTCAATACACTCAGCAGTCTTAACCAGGATGTGCTTCCTTATGATGGGTTTCTCTGACCTTTGGGATCCAGGGCTAAATTAGTAGGGCGTACATTATTAACTTTGCCTCAAAAGTACATTGTTTCAGGGCTTTCTGCTGGCTTATTTTTTGTTATAGTTTTAATACATACAGTCATCATTCTACCAAAAATGATGAGAGATCCAATTCTTAAAACATCTGGAGGAATTATTCAGAAAACTAAAACTAAATTCTATGGAACAATCGACCTACTGGATATTTTAATTATTTATAAAGAAGAGCTTTTAAAAGAAATAATTAAAAAAAAAAAAGTAGAACGAAAAAATACAGAGATTTGACTCATCTACATTTGAATCTTTTGTGAAACCTCATCTGTCACCAGCACATTGGATGTATTGGATTTATTAATCAAACATGGCCTAACTTCATAAAAACAAGTGTACAAACACATTTATGAAAACAAATGGTACAGCTGACTGTTCAGATAGGAATCATTGGACTTTTCAAGTCACATCAGAAGTGGCTTGTAACTCAAAACCAGCATGAAACCTTAATCCTACCAGCAGAGGAAATAAGGAAGAGAAATTTGATGCTTTAAGAGCTTCCCTGCACCCTGATGGGATTTGGATTTAGAGCTGCTTTATAAATCTCCAGCAGGACTTGCAGCAGGATGACTACTAGAGGCAGGCACTGCTTTGAGCCTTTAAAAATTGTATGTGAATGCAAAATGAGTGTAATTAGATCAAAGTAAAAAAGGTAAAATGGGTACTCTAAAAGTTAGAACCAACAAATCCACAACACACATCTACACGTGTGTGGTCTCTGATAACATTTCCTCCTTTTTACATGTGTGAAAACCTCTTGGTAATGGTTCAGCTTGGGCCCAGGTTTGTATGCCATCATTTTCCTATTATCCCTTCATAATAATAATAATAATAATAATAATAATAATAATAATAATAATAATAATAATAATAATAATAATAA